ACATTCAGGCAGGTTTTAGTTCACTGAGCATTTTATTTTCAACTCTGACATCTAAATAAAGAGTGCTTTATCTTCTTATGCCATAAAAAAATCATTTTATAACTAAAGTTAGAATCTTTTGAAGTTCTTGCATCAGGCTGTAGTGTGAGACAAAACTGGGAGGCCATGTGGGAAAAGTTGGCCTTTTATGTGTGTGGATAGAGTTGATCATTAGATAAGATTGTTTTGAGGGCACAGTTGGGTTTCTGCCTGGAAATGTACACCCCACCTACTCTGAGTGGTGCATGCAATCTATCATCAGAGGAAGAAGATATGTCAATCCCCATGGGTTCTTTATTACAACTGAAGTACTACTGGGAAGGTAGAAGACTGAATCATCAACACCTGGAATTGTGAACCAATTCAAAAGGATTAACAAGAAAATCAGCTCAAATGCCATAAAAGAATAAGTTTCAGATCAGATAAAGGCAAGCAGATGCCTTGGTAGTACAGGGTGCTTTGTTGATGAGCAGTATCCTAATTATTTATAGTTTGAGGGACTCTCTCCAGTTGGAAGATAGCATGAAGCCCCCAGGCACCTGACCAGTCAAATGAGACACTGAAAGTAAACAGTATTTCCATAACTTCACCTAAGGCATAACCATTCTGGAGACACACAACAAATTTAGAAGCAAAGCTCTCAACAGTTGAAGGGTTATAGACTCTTTAATTAAGATAAGGATCTCTCCCTTTAAACATCAACTTAAACAAATGAACAAAGAAAAACATCTTAAGTACCCTAAGATACAGAATATGCATACACTTTTAAGGAGAGTAAACGCTCCCCTGTAGTTTTCACCTAACCCCCCAGGTTAAGAACCTCTACTTTATAGGGTTACACTTGAAGAGAGAGTCCATCTCATCCTTTAAGTTTTGAGTTTGCAAGGATCTCTCTTGGTCAGTTTATGCTTTGTTTTAGAGTTTGCAATAGAAAGCTCAATCATTAAATTTTAAGAAAACAGTAAAAGCCCTAGAGTGTATGGCAGTGCCATTTTAGAATGTCTATCCATTTAATATATATTGTGTCCTACAATAATCTATTTTTCAAAGCTGAGGACAGAGATTAAGAGAGATAACAAACTCCCCTAAATCACAAAGCTGGCATTGGGGCCAAAAATGCTCAAGCCCAAGAAGTGTTTGACTCTAAATTCTGTGTGTGCAATAGTGACAGAAATACCCATGATAGTGTTCAACGCCATAAGGTTCAGAGTGGGAGGTCCCAAACTGTACAACAAACTGAAACTTATGAGATGAGCATCTCTGTATTGAGCTAGAACACACCATAAAACTAAATCAGCAGCATAATTTTAGTGAACAAATATTTTTACTAACACTGGTGGGGCAAAACATTTTAAAAACAAAAATATTGTAGTTATGCTGTCATCCTTCCAGAAATGGTGACGTTTTATTTATCACAATAACAGATGAAAGAAAAAGGGACTGGTTTCAGTTTCTGTACATGGGATTTATTTTATTTAAGGAAGTATTTCTTTCCAATGTTAGCCTAACTTATTATAATTACAAGATTCAAAGAGAGAATTTCAAATCTCCTTCTCTGAGGATCTTTAAAAAAGAAATGGGTTCTCAACAGATTGCTTAAAGCCAGGGAATTGGCTTTATGACTGTAACGGGTCTCTTCAGCCCTTTGATCCCTGGAGTAGTAAACATTTTCAGAAAGTAGATATGCTACAAAAGTTATATATGCTATATGTTCTCATCTTTTATCTGATTTTTTTCCTCCAACAGCACCCCCCAGAAAAGTTGCTTCCCAACTGACATATCTTTGGTATTGTATTTGTTTGTGTGTTTGGACTTGGTTTAGAGTAATGAGGAATCAGTGTAGGGCAAAAGATGACAGCGCTGAAATAGAAGTCAAGGGCTTTTTCATTCTTATGATAGCTTTCCTACTTATGGACTCCATTATTTGTGCTCATCTCATTTCTGAAAGAAGTCACATCCTTGTTAGCAAAACAAGGGTGTTGGATTGGAAACTTTACAAAATAACTTCAAACTTCTTTTAAATCCCTCTTTCTGTAAAAATAAAAATTCATACAGAAAATTCTTAGAATGAAGGGGATTTAAGTGAAGAAAACACTGGGAAAAATACAGTGGATATGTGAGACAAATTATTTTTCAAAAAATGCTCACCTTCTCCCTTCTTCTTTCATCTTGCCCATCATATCCCATGGTGTCCTCACTTTTACTCCAGTTCATTATATTAAATTTGATAAATATTGTTTGAATGATAATATATATGACACCCAAAAGTACTCATTATCCCACTATAGACTCAAGCTTTTTTAGGTGATGTGAATTTAGAATTTGGTTCTCTCTAAAGAGGGTGTACAAAACAAGATGTGTATCCTTCTTTATACTTTGGTCAGGATGATCAACAATTAATGGGTCAAGTGCACAAAATAGATAAATCAGAGCATACAATCAGAGTACATGTTACAGAAGTGGATTTTAAGAAAAAATTTGAAGAAATGTCGAGTAATACATTTGGCACTTTTTATCAACAGACTAGGTCTTGCATCACTGGATAGAGATATGATAAAAACCTTCTTTCCTATTTAAAATATTTATTCAAATACCAGATATTCAAATGTTTGAATTGGGAGTTATGGAATACTGGTCTACTTATTTTTGTATGCCGTCGCCTTTTGGGAAACATGTACAAAAACTTGAGGATTGAGATCGTCCTTCTTATGAAGTCCATATGCCATAATAATTTTTCTGTATTTTCCTTGGACATCAAAGCTTTGGGATTGCCTTTCATGCAAAGTTAATTTTATGTCTGCTCCTACAAATCTAAGAAAAACATGGACTCTTTCGTGGATAAAAATACCATAAGCATTTGCTATAAGTTTTAAGATAAAGTAGATATCAAAAATCAGAACAATAGTTTTTATTTTTATTATTTTTTTTTGGTACTGGGGATTGAACTCGAGTCCTTCTGCTCGCGAGGCAGGCTCCACAACCACTGAGCTAAATCCCCAGCCCCAGAACAATACTTTTTTAATGTGGATCAAATGCTTAATTCATTATTTAACTGTGTAGGGGGGAGGTCATTCATGAGTTTGTCTTTGATGCTTTTTGCCCCTTTCTTGTATCTTCCCCAACCTTTCTTTATTCTAGCCCACTTCTCTTAAGGACCCAGTATACTTGTTCTTGTTATTCTTCACAGACATCAAACCTACTATCTAAAATAAGTCATATATCAGCTCTCTACAGCTGAGTATGAATTTAGGCCAATACTTTCCCTTTCTCTGCACACTCAGGTATTTGCATTGTAAACTTGAGAGTGCAGGGAAATTCCTTCCTAGTGGAATGTCAGTAAGGACTTTTCAGCACCTTTAAGATAGCAACAACTATATCCCACTTGGCCTTAAACTTGAGTCAAAACTTCAAATGTGCACATATTAACACTAATTATTCCTCGGCATGTAGTTAAATTGACTCAAGTGACTCAAATAGAAGTATGGATATTAACCCCAAAATTCTAGTAATATTTGGGTTGCACAATTCATTTGAACAGTTAGAACCATTTTTCCTTGTTCCCTATTTATTCCTATTTAACTAATTTGTCTATAGTCTACCTGCCTTGTTAGACTGGAGCCCTTCCAGAGAAAGGACCATGTTTTACTCAGATCTGGATTTCCAGGACAAGCACAGTGTCTAGCTAATTGGAAACCCTTCCAGGTAAATAATTAGATTCCTGCAGCTTAAATCTGCTAAAAGCTTGTGTTTCCTTAAAATGATATCTCCAGTTCTCCTTCACCTAGGATTTTTCCTCTGATTTCAGAGAATGGTCGCAGTAAAGGAATAGTCTAAACTAGCTTGCCAAGACAAACCTTTCCATCCAATCCAAGAAGTTGTTAGGGTATTTCAGAGCCTGTAATGCTTTACCCTTGGGAATCAGAGATGCAATAATTGCCTCTGGATATAGGTCTGAGGAGCATTATATCATTCATTATTCTAGAATGGAAAAGAACAATAACAACAGCCTAGTTTTATTCAGCAGTGCCTGATGCCAGGTGTTTACTAGGACAAACACCACCTGAGGCCCAGAAGATTAGCTGAAGCAACTGATACCCTATGCTGCTTTTCATATCTTACCTTCTTAGCACTACGCTCTGCATATTGTCCCGTTTTATCAGGTCACATCAACTTTGGTCATACCCAACACTGCATCTTACATTAAACAAATGTTTCACAATGCTGACTATTCCTTCAATAGGAAGTGGCCATTGAAGAAAGTTTCCTGATTCTTTGTGCAAGCAGTGGCATTGGCACATTTTGTATATGGGCAGCCTCTTTTATTCCATAAGACATTGGAGCTTTCAGCCATCATTAAGATATGAATTTACTAGGTATAAGAATGAAATATTCAATAGACAGTCAATTATATAGAGTTGTTAAGTGAGGTTGTGATGGTGGCGAGTAGGCAAACTTGTGAAAGTTATTTGCAAGAACACCAGCTGTCCAGGTGTTTGGAGAGCAAAGGGTATATTCCATAAAAGACCTTTTAAATACCAGTAGTTATTCAGTGTACTAAGCATCTCTCATATGGAGTACATTGTCCTAGCCCTTTGGAAAATATTACAAAAAGGCCAAATCCAAGTTTCTCAGCCGCAAAAAACTTACTGTTTTAACAAAGAACATTTATTAAAAATTAAGGGCCTGGAATTCCTTTCTTGAAGCAATAAAACGTACATTTGTTCAGGTATTTATGCAATACCACCACCACCCACAAATCTACAAAATACATCTCTGTTGTACAGAATTACATGTACTCTTACATGTCACACATAAAAGACCACAGGGACTTCTGACACTCTCTACCAACTTTAATATTCAATAGATATGCAAAAGATCGCAAATTTAAATATTTATGTACAGCCTGCCCTAGGCCAGAGGTGAAATGGAGAAGTGAACAGGTATAGTCCATAGAGGCTTACCTGATACTGTAGAGCACTTTGCCATTTTTTGAAATGCGCAGCAACTTGTTGTCAGTGGTGACATCATGGAAGTTGGCACCCTTCTCATTGGCAAAGAACAAATCTGGTTTCCAAATGGAGTCTAACATAGATGGGTCCAAGTCCAGGGAATCATCTGGATACTCTCTGTAGGCCAGCCGTGAATCATTCCACTGTTGTCTCAGAAAAATATTCACTCGGTAGTCCTACAGAAATGTCATGTACAAGAGCTAATTATTGCCTACTCTGGCATAAGAAGACTTAATATTTCCCCCTCACCTTTCTCTCTGGTTTGATATAGTGTTGGAGGCTGAGTAAACCAAGATATATACGCCGTGTTCAAAAATAAACCACTTAGCTCTGTTAGGATTGGGGGCTGAGGGAGAGAGAAAAAAGAAAATTCAGTCAAACCAAAACACCAGTGGGGCAGGTTGACTCAGTTGTATTTTTTTTTGCTAAAATTAATTCTGAAATGAAGTAATACTAACTCGAGCTGATTTTGTTATACAAAAAGGTAATGATGAATGTCGAAGTCAGTGACAGCGGATTGTCAAATAAAACTGATTTTCTTTTTTTTTAAATTATTGGTACATTTTAGGTATACAGTATAATGACATTCATCATTGGAAATTTGCTCCTTTACATAATCCATCTTGGTTCTTATTTTTTCCCCATTCCCCTCCCCTCCCTTCAACTCCTCCACCCTCCCTGTCTACCAAGACTTTGTTTCCATTTTTTCTTTTTCTCATAAGGGAATGGAATTGAAAGTGATTAATTTTCCAGATCAGAAATGGCATGGTTTCTAGCTTCTTTCTGCTCAGATCCTCTGAGCAGAAGAAATCTTACTTTGCAATTCGGTAGTGAAAATCTTATAAAACTATGACATGATGGACCAATACTTTAATGTCTTCAACGTAAACATTAACATGTTTCATGTTGACAAAATAATTCCCTTACAACTACTTACTTTCAAAATTTGTAACTATTTTATAATTTTCTTGGACTGTGTTGTATCTATAGTAGTCAGCTTGATGCTTCATCCAGAGATCTTTTCATAAGTTCTCAATTTGATCACCTTTGGATAAAGTGTTCTCTCTTGTGGCAGCTTCAGGTACACCCCTGGCATTCTAATTTAATCTGGAAATTTCCTTTAGTGCTAATATATCAGCTTGGGGCAGTGACTGCTCTCCTGTCTGTAGGTTCGTAGAAAGCATTTCTTCACTTGATCATCTCATCTAGACTTCATCACTAATCTGTAGTCAAGCAGAGCTATGGTTTCAGAGTTAGTAGTTGTCTGCCCTTGCCACTTGTGTTTATTTAGGGTGATACATTCTGCTATGGTTTGGATCTAGAATGTCACCCAAAACAGCAGTGCACAATGTAGGCCTAGAAAGGTTAACAAGCATATACTTACTACTCAAAATCCAGATCATTTGGAAGGGTGAGTTATTAAAAGGAAAAAACGACATTCTCTATTGTATAACATGAGGACACTCTGACTTGGAAAATTTTAGCATCGGGCATTTATTTGTGTTGTTACCATGCTTGCACAATAAAACCTCAAACCCAACCTGTTTGCTCACTTGCTTCCCAAGTGAGTGGACCAAGGGAATGGCAGAACCTGAGTTCCCTTGACACAATTTCTGGAACTGTCCAGAGACAGGAAGGTGTTGAAGAGAAAGAGATGATAACCAGTTCAGTGTCGTGTTGGGAAAAGGAGTTACTGAAAGCTTTGGAGTTTTGTGTACAGTAGCGAGTGAGAATGTGTGATTTGTAAAAATAAAATAAGGTACTATTAAAATATAATAATCCAGTTTATATAAGTATACATTAGATTCATTTGTTGAGAGAGTTTCTTAAAGTTTCCTAAGGGAGAAAATGCAGCTTCTCCAGTTTTTAACACCCATTCTTTTATATTTCCCTAGAATGAAAACCAGGCCTTAAGAAAATGGTTTGAGAGGAGTTTGTATGCTTGTTTCAATAGGAAATAGAAGATCCCCTTCCTTGGCCAATCTTATCAGAAAGTAATCCTAGAGTGGGAGGGGAATTGAGAAGCCAGATAGCACCAGGCAATAAAATCACAAAGATTATAAGTATTTATTCTTTTTAGTACATCATAACTAAAATTTATCCATAATTTTGTTTACGATGATATACACTATTTAAAAATAAACAGCAATCCTTGAAAACATTTAGGAATCCCTGTGATTTTCCCTTGAGCTTGAGAATGATTTAGAGATGCATATTGAGAGACTTTAGAGAATATTAGTGACATGCAATATGAAAACAATGACCTTTAAAAAAATATCGCAACATAGATGTGTTACAGCTAATATACATCTTTTTTTCTAAGTTCTTTTATTGATACATTTTAGGTGTACAATTCATTTACATTTATTACATCTTTTTAAAAAAGTATTTCCCATGAGTATTCTCCAGATTTTCTATTTCAAATTTTATATGTGGAAAAGGATGGTATAGCTCCTCTTATATTACAACTTTAGAAAGAGCAATAAGTCTATTATATCACACTAGAACAATTAAGTCTCTAAAGGTTAATTCAAAATAATCCCACTATTTGTTAGCAGGGATAGGTGTGAAATTTAGAGGACAGAATATATTTTATGCCACAATTATAGCAATTACATGAAATAAGACCCATGTTAGAGCTTTTGATTATAAGTATTTATTCTTTTTAGTACATAGTATCTAAAATTCATCCATAATTTTATTTATGATGATATACACTATTCTAAAATGAACAACAATCCTTAAAAACATTTAAGGATAAGAAAGAACACCCTGGGATATACGAATGTAGATATCTTAAGAAATGATTTTCTGGAGCCATGCCTGTGTAATTATTCTAGTTCCCTGTCATTTTCAGTGTAGGGTAAAATTTTCACACATCTATCTATCCATTGCATCTATTTATTTACAGATTGGTTTATTTTTTCATGCTATTCCAAACCACAGGAGAATAATTATATTGTCCTGTCATCTTTCTTTGTCTTTACTTTTGCTTCTAGGTTTAATGAAATAGTAAAGGGGAAGTAAATATTGAGAAACACGCTTAAATGCAGGCCGAACTTTCTTTCACACTTCCTTCTGTCTCCAGGGACAGATTCCTTGTCAATTAAATGGCGTATTTCCTTGTACTAAAATTTGTTTCTCTGTGATTGATCTGCATATTGAATTAGATAATGCAAACTAACTCCTCTCTCTCTCTCTCCCCCTCCCTCCATCCCCCCGTATATATTTTTGAAAAACCATGTGTGACTCACATAATCTTTATTACATTCTTTTTTTTTTTTTTTTGGTACTGGGGATCAAACTCGGGTCCTGGCGCTTGCGCAGCATCTTTATTACATTCTAAACACAGGTAATGTGAGTACCCTCATTCCATATTATTGTTTTATGTCAAACTTAAAATTTCTTACATTTTTTTCTGGTATCTTCTAATGCTGTGCCCACTCCACAGAGACTGTTTCCTTACACTGAATTATTTTGGCACTGTTACATTTAGTTTAGCATTTGAATACAGAGATTGTTACTCTATCTCATACATACTCCTGTTAAACTTTACCATTGTGCCCTCTCTCTCTCTCTCTTTCTCTTTCTCTCTCTGTCATATATATGTGTGTATGTATCATACATTGCTCAATATATTTTATAAAGGTATCAAAGACAAGACCATGTTTTCTTGATTCCTCATAGTGCTTATGTGGCACTTTGGGTTTACCGCTGCCTGCTCTCTAGTAAAACTTTTCTAATACTGAACCTAGTTTTAAGATGAATTTAAAATTATGGGAGGCAGTTGGTCTATGATGAATTCAGACTTTAATATTACATTGGTAGTTTCAAGGCAAAGGCCATCTTATATATCTGTTTAACAAATGCCAGGTTTGTGGCAGTTTCTTAGTCATTCGCTAAGAAGTCAGGAATAAAAACAGCTGCATGCTGTATCTGAACAGTGAGTGTCTTTTTATGGTTTGCTTCTCCAGCTACAGAATGAGAAGAAATAAACAGTGCTGTTTCAGTGGACAACATGCATGCCAATAAGGGGTTGTCTACTTTTTTATCTGCATTCCTCAGGAACATGATATCAGATCAGAGGTGAAGTACATTGTCACTCTTCAGATGTGACAAGTAGAGAATTGAAATTTACCTGTAAGGGCAGAGTTTGGGGTATCCAGAGTTATATTCTGGAGATATTCCCTGGGAAGACACATTTATACACTCTGAGCTCTCCTTCCTGTTAAATGAGCACTGAGTCAGGATGTACTGCTCTGACATGATTAGTGCTCCAGCATCCACAGGTCCAAATCACAATATCTCACATCTCTCCACACAGTCATTTGGAAACTGAAGAGAGCATCTCATTTCTATTTTCTGATGTCTTAGGCTTGGGAAAAGCTGTGTATACCCTTGACCTTTACTGACATTATTAATATTCTCAAACTATGCCTTTATGTCAGAAAAGAGAGGATTTCAAATATATGCCCCATCCTGTATATTCAATTGCCATGAGTAATAAAGAGAGGAGGGGAAGGAAAGAAAGAGAAATGGTAAACTGACATTCCCAAAACAGAATATAACTTGTCTCATTATGCATCCCTTACTAGTCTTCCAAGTTCCGGGCACCATACCAAATTTGTTCCACTGAATACTCTTAATACAGGGTCAGTTAACAATGACCACCAACATATCCCTGTTTCTTAATGAACGAAATGTACATTTTTGAGTAACGTATATCATCACACTGATCTATAAAATATTTCTTAGAGTAATGCAAATGTGTTATCCTGTTCTGACAGGTATCAAAAAAGTGAGAGTTAGTTTTGGGTCCATAAGTAAGACAATACTTATTGGGCAAGCAATATCAACAATAAATTAGTGGACTTTCATTAGCCATAAAAAAGACAGATTGTATAGTATCAAAAGAAACTCACGTTGAGCTTTTGAAACAGACAATCATTGCCTGTACTTTAGAAATTGACACTCAAGAAAACTAAATCCTTCAGTGATGCTGTCTGGGTCATGGGGTGAGTGAGAGTGAGGTGTGAGGGAAAAGAGGAAAATCAACATGTTTAGAAACTCAAAATTATAAAGCATTCTTGCAAAAATTAATTCTAGAAAATGTAGAGAAAGCAAAACTATTATCTCCAGAAAATAGTAACAATCAATGCCCTCAAAGACTTCATCACTGTGCATAAAAGCTAAAGTTTCTGACTCCAGCTAAAAGTGGTTGAGGGCAGAATCTGATCCTGTTTTACTTTTTGACAAAATTTTCTGAGTCAAATTTTGCAAAAGTATCTGTAAATTATGGACGGTAGAATCTTAGAGTTTTGGTAAAGGACACTGGGACTGTGATGATATTGTGTGAGTGTGCAGTGGACTAAAATGTGTGTGTCCTCCCAAAAGTCACTGTTGACCTAACCTCCGATGTGATACTATTAGGAGGAGGCTGGGCTTCTGGGAAGTAACCAAATCATAAAGGTAGGGCCCTAATGAATGGGATTAGTGCCCTTATAAGAAGGACCCCAGAGGCCAGGGATTTAGCTCAGTGCTTCCACCGCCTGCCTCACAAGCGCAAGGACCTGAGTTCAATCCCCGGTCCCCAAATAAATAAATAAATAAATAATAAAAAGGACCCCAGAGAAATTTCTTTCCACGACATGAACATATAAGAAGAAACGAGCTGTCTATAAACTTGATAGATCCATTGCCAGAATCTGACTTTACCAGCACCCTCAGTGTTCAGCTTCTAAAACAATGGGAAATAAATTTCTGTTGTTTGTGATCCACTTAATCTATGTTATTTTGTTATAGAAGTCTGACCTGATTAAGATGGGGTGCATAAGGGGGATTCCCAGGTAGAATGTCAGTTATCCTGGAAGATAAGGCTCTTTTTTAGTGGCACAATTGTCACATTCTTAAGTGCATCTGAATAATGTCCATTTAAATATTGATGCCTTAGATCTGGGGTTGGCCAATTTAGCCCTGGCCTATTTTGGTAAATAAGATTTTATTGGAGCACAGCCACAACCATTTGTTTACTATTGTTTATGACTGTTTTCATGCCAAAAGGGCAGAATTGAGCAGTTGTGACAGTGACAATCTGGCCCTCAAGGTCTTAAGTATTTACTTTGTAGCCTTTTACAGCAAAGTTTGCCAATCCCTACCCTAGGTGGCATGAGAATCTCTTCTTTGACATCAGCATGACAGGGTTTCCAAAGATACTTTTGCAGTTTCACACCAAAGCCATAATTGACAAAAATAAAATATATTTTTTCAAAGGCAAAAGAAGCTTGTCATTACATCAAAAGCTAGTAAGTGAAACAGAAAATGCATGATATACATCACTTTTCTAACCATGCAATTCAATCTGTCTTTTGCAGCAGAATAGGTAGGCTGTTGATGTTACCTTTCAGCAATGGTTTCCAAACTTTTATTAGGAAATATGACAAAGGAGACACTTAATAAGTGGCCAGGAAGCACCCAAAGCAGCCCATGTATTAAACACTTTCAGTTACTCTTAAAGTCAGGAAAACAGGATATCCATGGCTTCCATTTTGATTTCCTTAAATGTTTAGCTTATTCTTGCATTAATGAAAATCAAAAAAGTACATATTTACATTTTTGATTGAGAGTAAGATGCAATGAAGAGATTTAATCAAAGCAAATTAGGAGTCTAATTAATGCAATCAGCACTAGGTCGTGCAAATATTGTCATTGAATGCCATCGTGCAAAGTTGGTGACAGTGATTTGGGCTACTGGAAGCTTTGTCCCTCTCTTATAAGGATAAAACCAAGAGGGGAGAGACAGAAACTGAATGCCAAGTCCAGAGTTGGATTATTCTTTCTAAGCTTAACATTTCCTATGAGTCATTTAATAACCTTATCAAAAGTATCTTTTAAAGGTAAAATTCTTAATCCATTATATTCTGTCAAAGTTCCAGAAGCCTCATTTCTGGACAATGCTATTTCATGGTAATATTGAAATGGTTAGTGGAGATGTATTATGTTTAATTTTGTCAGTGAAAATGAGTAGTAAAAGGTAAATTAATTCTTTCTAGCTTTGAGGATATCACAAAGTACAGTAACTTATTAAACATGATTTTAGTAGCCTAATAGAGAAAATTCATAGAAACAGAAAACCATGTTTTTCACTTTGCAATGTTATTATCTTCATTAGTTACATTTTAGGTTTATAAAACATCAGCCACCACAATACTTGGTTGAGCTCAACTGTATTTTATTTTGGTATTATCCAATAATATGACTGAATTATTTATATAACAGTACCAATTAGAACCAACCAATTGATTAAGGATTTAAAATGAATTATATAGATACTAGGAAAATACTTTAGTCAAAATCCAATCCCCATACTCTAGGACTGTGTGGAGTAAATCTAACAGGCATGTCACAAGCAATATGATGATGACATTTATAAGGAGTCTTGGTGAATTTCTTTTTTCCTTTTTTTTTTTTCTTCATTTTTCTGCAGTGCTGGGGATTGAATCCAGGACCTTGCACATACTGGGCTAGCACCTCACCATTGAGCTATATCCCAGTCCCTGAGGATTTTATGGTATCTGAAATCTTTTTCAAATTTATAAAAGATGTTCAAACATAACCTATAATGAGATTTAATTTGGTTTTATTATTTATATTTTATTGAAAAGTGGTGCATGTGATGTAATTGCTACAAACTTTCTAATGCCAACAAAATTGTGTTCATGTGTGTGTTCTTGTAAATCCAGCCTCTTGACTTAGCTCTTAAAACTCCATCATAGGAAATCTTGGCTAGGTTAAAATTTCCTTAATATATAAAAGACTGGCACTAACATCTCTCAAAGTTTGTAATTTATACTTATGAAATATTGGAGATGTGTGTATCTTAGCTATACACCATGCTTTTTGCTGAAAATTCTACCAGTAACTAACCAAACAACAAATAGCTTCAGAATTTCTATGGTATGATAGATTAAAAATCATTGAATTTTAAGTAATGATCACTTGATAAATAACTTTCCAAAATGAAGCAGTGTGAATTATTGCTTTTTAGGGGTAAGAAGAGTTGAACATTGGCACTCAGTAGGTGTCACACAAATAGGCAACAGTGTTCTTTGGTCCCATATCCCATTCCTTCACACGATGGCTTCAATGCTCAGCCCCACTCACCATTGTAGTTTCTGCTATTGACCCAAAGCTGTTGATAAATATGTTGCAGGTAACATTTACAGGAGGCCCTGCAAGTTGAACAATAGAAAATTTGACAGGTTGTGTTCATGGCATTATTGAGTCACGTTTTTCTCTTGCCAGTGGCATTGTAGCACTTACCATGGTGGTCTCTGTGACTGATCCAAAACTGTTGATAAAAATATTGCAAGTAACGTTTACTGGAGGACCTGCAGAATGTAATAAGAATATTGCAATAGACATTGAAGCAAAAATATAGCTCCATCAACATCAGTGCAAATGGCTAGAGATGTAAATAAAATGGTGGTGAGATTGCAAAATATGGCTTTACCAGAGTTGCATAAAAATAACCTTTGCACTAGTATTTTGGGTAATGACAGCTAAGCAATACTAACTTACCCTGAAACTTTTTGAGCTTGGAAGATACAAGCTAAGACAATTTAATTAAACTCATTGGCATAAATTGCTGTTACCATGACAGTTTGGTTGGGTGACTCTCTCTGACCTTAGGATCAACATTGCAAGCATCAACAGTGAATGATGAAATAGCTTGGTTCATGGGGTCAAATTGGAGCTGCATTTTGGATTATGGATGGGTCAGGATCATCCATCTCCTTTGGTTCACCACCCTTTAAATCAGTGTATTGGTTTGATTCTCATGACACCTCTGAATTTACCCCTTTTCTTTATAAATTGTGACCCCAATGAAAAATGATGTACAGAAACACAAAACAAAGAAAATTAACTTAAGACATAAACACAAACAACAGTGTCGCTTAATGTCCATACTGTTGCCTGAACAAATGTGGTATAAAGCAACGATCAGATCATTACATCTTAGATGTGCTTTGAACAGAGTCTACTTCTCTCTCCAGACTCCCAGGGACTATGCTGACTCCAGCTTGCTTTTCCTCTCACCTTTCATCAACAGGTGAATCACTGTCTGCATGGAGTTTTCCATCTAATGCTTTCTAAGATAAGAAAATACTGCCATGAAGCATCTATTCCCTCACTGCTTTTCCTTATGGAAATTTGCCTCCCTTCATTCAACAAAAACTGAGCAGACCAGTGTAAGCAACACCCTAGTTGGCTCTGTACCCAACCAGCTGGTAGGATCTGAATGAACAGGAGTTTGGCTTGAGGCCTCCCTCAAAGGCTGATAGTAAAAACACAAGTTGTGGTCCTACAATGTTTTTAAACTGTTCAAGTCCAAGTTGGTTTCTTGGGAAGGAAACTTGGGGTAAAAAACTATATAAGTCCCCAAGCAACATCTTCTGGCAAACAAAAGAGTAAGGTGTTGTGGTAAAAGACATGTAAGTTGTTTTTCCTTGTAATATAATTGATTTTATTTTTATTTAAAAATTGGATGTTTTAAACCTTTTCAGGCGTAGAATCAGAGGCCTCTAAGTCTTTTCTTTTACCATCTGTCAAGGTTTTTTCTACATGGTCACTTCCTATCTGCTTGATTTTGTTTTTGTGGTTTGGTTACTCAAAAAAAAAAAAAGAAAAATGAATCTCTTTCTTGACCATATAATTCTATTCTATTTAAATAATTTTTTTCTTCTAATAAGAAATAAAGTAGACCAAGTAGAGGCAAGTCGAGAGGAATTGTGTATATTTGTTTTGTTTTTTCTCTCCACAAAGAAATATTTCCTTTTAGATCATTCAATTCACAATTGAAAATATTTCATATTTTTACACACTAGATAAAAATGAATAAAAGGAAAGAGGAAAAAGGGAAATGTCATTTTAGCATTCTTATCAAATCATTTCAGAATATCACATTTTAACAGAAGGAACTTGAAAATGTAAATTTTGCTTTTCTTGTGTTGTGCATTATCTGTCTGACTGATCCAACTGCCTTGGAAGCACTTAGAAGGCTGGCTCATACCATCATTTATTTGTTTTTGTCCTTTCTAGTAAGTGACAGTGTGAGTATATTGCGAGACTCAATTTTTGTGTGTGTGTGTGCCGGGGATCGAACTTGGGACCTTGCACTTGCGAGGCAGGCCCTGGAACCACTGAGCTACATCCCCTGCAAGACTCAAAATATTTTTAAGCTGTCATGTCTTGACACATTGTTTTAACTAAATGAGAAATTATTTAATTGAATCTTCACAGAAGAGGTATTTTTTTTCTTTTACTTCTCCAGTGTGTACTGGTTAAGAAACTAGAGGATACAGGAGTTAAGCAACTTGCTTGAAGTCCTGTTGGAATAATTAAAAAAGCAGAGGCTAAATTTATTATACTGATTTTAAAAACCTAAACTTTCAACTCCTTCTCTGCACTGCCTTCATTACACAGTGTCTTCTCCCCTTCTTGCTCTGCTAATCATGGTATCTTACACTAGTATATATTTCTTGATCCTTTATATAGGACCTCTTCAGTGTTGGGCATTTTAAGGTTCATCTGCACTTATAAATAAAACTTTGGAAAGAAAAATGTAAGCTTTCTTTATGTGGTGGATTAGCACATATTTATGCTAGAACTGACGCAAATTAAAACCTCCCTCTGTACCACTGAGTGCCTTCTTTCATTCCATAATTAGGGAGTATCACGAGCTCCATTTTACAGATGAGTAAAACTGAGGCATAAAGGTAGTTAACTGATTTTTCCAAGATCACTCAGTTTCTAAGAAGCAGGTATTGCCTAATTTAAAGGACATTTTTAACTCTAGGAGTAAAATTCCCAAGGCCAACAGCATTACCCTAACAATAGAAGCTACCTAAATAGGGGACTTGACCCACAGGTTCTTTGGGGTGAATGATAGAATTGTGTCTTTTTTCCACCTCCGAGTATGATCCTGATATGTGCCAGTGCATCAGTGTTTTAGCCCAGTGTCCCGGTCACTTTCCTCATGGCTGAGACACAATACCCCACAGCAATAATTTAAAGGAAGAGAGGGTTATTTTGGCTCAACTTTTCAGTCCACTGGCTCCAAAGCAGGACAGCCTGACAGAGGGGCATAGTATAGGAGAAGCTGCTCTGTCATGGCCACCCAAAAGCAGAACGAGTGAGGGGGAGCTAAGAAGGGAGATGCACCCTTCCAAATCACACCCCTGGAGACCTTCCTCTTCTGACAGACACCACCCCCATATGGGGGACACCGGCCCCATAATACAATCCTTCCAATAGCCCTTCCCATGGGTATGTGAGGCTCTTGGGAGACATCTAGGTATAAACCATAAGGTCCAATAATCTGTTCAAGTGTTCTGATTAACAAGAACATGTTCCTAGACATGAACCCAAGTAAATAAATGTATTATGCAAAATATAGAAACAGTTTGCACTAGTTAACCTCCTCTAATTGATTTTTAGCAACATAATGATATTCCAAATTGAGTTGGATGAGACTGACTGGGAAAAAGAATTATATGGACATCTACTATCTCATAGTATTATCCTTCCCTTTCTTCTTTTCTACCCTGTCTCCTCTCCCCACTCCTCCCTCCCTCCTTCCCTCTTTCCCTTACTCTAGTGCTCTGTTCTTCATTTATTTTTGCTTTTGTTCTTATGAGATACAGTGATCTTCCCATAACTCAGTTGAAAGGAGTTGCACCGAATCTATAGATCGTTTTGGGTAGTTTTGGCATCTTCACAATTTTCAGTCTTCCTACCCACAAACATAAAATGTCTTTTCACTTTTTAGATCTTCATTATTTTCTTTCAGCATTTTTTCTTTCATTTCTTTTATTTAATTTCTTCCTAGGTATTTTATTCCTTTAGATACTATTATAAATGGAATTGGTTTTCTTAATTTCATTTTCAGATTGTTCATTGCAACAGAAACACAACTAACTTCAACTTTAATGAATTCATTCATTAGCTCTAATAATTTTTTGAATTCTTTGGAATTTTCTTTAAGTATGACCATGTCATTTGTAAATATAGTTTTACTTCTTCCTTTTGAATTTGGATGCCTTATTTTGTCTTTTCTTATCTAATTGCTCTGGATAAAACTTACAATGCAATTCTAAATAGCAGTGGTGAAAATAGGCATCCTTGAAGCTTTCAGTCACTATTATTATTGTCATTTTATTTATTTATTTATTTATTTATTTATTTATTTATTTTGGGTACTGGGGATCAAACTCATGACCTTGTGCTTGCGAAGCAGGTGGCGGCACCACTGAGCTAAATCCCCGGCCCTCAGTCACTATTATTGAGCATGGCTCTTATAGATAGCTTATAGTTGGATCACACTGTTAGCTGTGGGTCTTCAGAAATGTCCTTTGTCATGTTGAAGAAGTTCCCTTCTGTTCCATGTTTTATTAATGTGTTTTATTTTAGTCATGAAAGGATGCTCGATTTTTCAAGTGCTTTTCCTTCATCAACTGAGATGATCACGTTTTTTTCTTCATTCTGTTAATAAGTGTATTACTCTGATTGCTTTTTAAATAGTGAATCCCCTTTATATTCCTGAAATAAATCTGAATTGGTCATGGTATGCTATTGGATATGGCCTGCTAATATTATTTTGAAGATTTTTGCATCTATTCTCATAAAGGATTTGGGCTTGTGATTTTATTTTCTTGTTAAATCTTTTTCTGACTTTAATGTCAGGGTAATACTGGCCTCATAAAATGAGCTAGGAAGTATTTTTTCATTGTCTACTTCTTGGAAAAGTTTGAGAAGGATTGGTGTTAATTCTATAAATCTTAATAGAACTGGTCAGATAAACCATCTGTTCCTGAAATTTTCTTTGTTGGGAGACTTTTGATTGCTGCTTCAGTCTCATTACTTGTTATATATCTGTTATGATTTTCTATATTCCATCTTGAACCAGTCAGGTGATTAGTGTGTTTCTAGGTAGTGTTTTTCTGTTTCATCTATGTTACCTAAGCTGTTTATAATCTTTTACAATTCTTCTTCTTTTTGTAAGTTCAGTAATTAATTCTGATTGTAATTATTTGAATCTTCTTTCTTTTTCTTTGCCAGTCTAGATAAATATTTGTCAGTTTTGTTGATATTTGAAAGAACCAAATTTTGCATTTGTTATTCTCCAATTATTTTTCTTTCCTCTCTTTTATTCTTCTCGCCTCTGATTGTTACCATTTACTTCCTCTGCAAGCTTTGGGTTTAGTTTGCTCTTCTTCACTTCCTTCAGGTATATGAGTAGGTTCTTATTTTAAGAACTTTTTTAAAAATGCAGACATTTACATTATAATGTTCTCCCTGGGCACTTCCTTCTCTGCATCCTACAAATTCT